ATTACGTTTGGGTCTGATAAAATCAAAACTTATATCCAATAGTAATCAGCCTTTTGTTGATTTCCGCAACATAAAATAGTGCTTTCATAAGAATAAAGGGGAATATTGTCCGATACCAACTATACGAATAAAAAACAATCTGCTTTAATTTTATTACATGGTTATGATAAACACATTTTGTGTCACAAGCGCAACACTTTCAACTATTATTAAAAAATGCAAAACCAAATTTTAACTGCAATACAGTGATAGACCACAGACAAAGATTTTCAAGTACGCAAAAGGAAATTTTTCTGTGAGTCACTCCTTACGAACTTTCTCTGGCACAATCCTTAGCTCAAACGCACAACTAATGTGTAACCCTATGAAAGACTCTGATAGTTAGCCAGACACTGTTTAATCTAAAAACCTTACAACATACTGCAAACGCTCAATACAATATAGAATACCGATTACAAAGTCTGCAACACGGACGAATGTCCTCCTTACAACAAGACAAATAAAAAAAATTCAAAGAACTTCATTTAAAGAAACAGCTACCATTCGCTGTAATGTGGGGTTAGAAGAGTCAAAAGTTTCATAAAATTACAAATAAAATGCTATCCATGCCAATATGCTTAGAAACTGATGAAATCAATCATTTAAAAATCTAGAACTTTCAAGCATGTAGGTATGAAAAACTTCATGTATAGAAACTCCTAGAATTTCATGATATCAGCCGTTTCAACGTTTAAAATTTTGAACCATGCAGATGTAAAAAACTTCTATATCGAAACTCCTAAAACTTGATGGTGGCACTCTTATAAATGTTTAGAATTCTGAACTATGTGCAGCTGATAAAATTTTTAAATAGAAACTCCTAGAAATTGATAATATCATGCATTTGAACGCTTAGAATTTTGAATTATGTAGATATACAAAAACTTTTATATCGAAACTCCTAAAACTTGATAATATCAGCCGTTTAAACGTTTAGAATTTTCAACCAACTAGATACGAAAAAATTCATGCATGGAAACTGCTAAAATTTGATGACATCATTCGTTTAAACGTTTAGAACTTTGAAGCATGCAGATATGAAGAAATTTATGTGTGAAAAATTCTAAAAATTCATTATCTCAGCCGTTTAAACGTTTAAAATTTTCAACGATGGAGAAATGAAAAAATTCATATGTGAAAACTCCTAGAAATTCTTAACATCAGCCGCTTAAACGTTTAGAATTTTGAACTATGTAAATATAAAAAAATTTCGATATCGACACATCTAAAAATTATTGACATCAGGCGTTTAAACGTCTGAATTTTTGAAGCATGCAGATATGAAAAAATTCATATGTGAAAACTCCTAAAAATTCATAATATCAAACGTTTAAACATGTAGAATCTTGAACTATGTAGATATACAAAAATTTCTATATCGAAACTCCTAAAAATTGTTGACATCGGACGTTTAAACGCTTAGAATTTTGAAGCATGCAGGTATGAAAAAATTCACATGTGAAAACTCCCAGGAATTATTAATATCAACCGTTTAAACACGTAGAATTTTAAACTATGTAAATATCAAAAAATTTCTATATCAAAACTTCTAAAAATTATTGACATAAGTCATTTAAACGTTTAGAATTTTGAACCATATAGATATGAAAAAATTCATGTATGAAAACCCCTCGAAATTCTTTATGTCAGCCGTTTAAACGTTTACAATTTTGAACTATGTAAATATAAAAAAATTTCGATATCGACACTTCTAAAAATTATTGACATCAAGCGTTTAAACGTCTGGATTTTTTAAGCATGTAGTTACGAAAACATTCATATATGAAAACTCCTAGAAATCCTTTATATGAGCCGTTTAAACGTTTAGAATTTTGAACTATGTAAATATAAAAAAATTTCTATATTGAAACTCCTAAAACTTATTGACATCAGGCATTTAAACGTTAAGTATTTTGAAGCATACAAATATGAGAAAATTCATGTATGAAAACACTTGAAAATTCATTATACAGCCGTTTAAACGTTTAAAATTTTGAACTATATAGATACGAAAAAATTCATACATGAAAATTGCTAGAAGTTGATGATGTCATTCGTTTAAATGTATAGAATTTCGAAGCATGCAGATATGAAAAAAATTCATGTATAAAAATTTCTAGAAATGCATTATATCAGCCGTTTAAACGCTTAAAATTTAGAACTATGTGGATACAAAAAAGTTTACATCTTGAAACACCTGGAAGTCAATGAAACTAGCCGTCTAAACGGTTACTATTTACTATAAAAAAGGTATCCGAAATATTTGATGCTGCACTATGTTGAAATACTGAAGCACCCATCGTTTAAATGCTTGAACTTTCTGAATAGTTAATCTAAAAAATATATGGAGAAAATAACGTCTAGAACTCTCAACTTTGAAGGATGAATGTCGTCAGTAATTATTGCAGAAATCCGAATGATAAAAGTGTTGGGGAAAACGCTCAAAAATCTCAACTTTTTGATGCGTGAAATGGGGTTTTGGACCCAATGGCCGTTTACACGATTACAAAGCAAGCTTTCGAGGTGTTAAAACGTCTACAAATATTCAATAGAAAAAAACTGTACGTTTTCACCGGTGGAATTTTAGAATTCTGAGTGTTTACACGGCCATCTTTTTTTTAACGCGTGTAAACGCTTGAAAAAGTCAGTTTTACGGTGTGTACACGCGTTTTTTCGAATTCTTGTCTGCTAGGGTTGTAGCCATGTTCAATCAATTCAGGTGTTAAACGATCAAGTTCAACATAAATTTCTGCCGATTGAGGGTGAGAATGATCATGAGCACTCAATCCCTAAACAACAAACAAATTTCTTCATTTAGTAATATTTAATAGATATACTTTACCACTATTTCACCACTTCCATCAGTCCGTGATAATCCTAGTTTGATTTTCGTTCCTAATTGTTTTACTTGATTATATCGGAAGTAGTGGCGGAGCCAGAATTTTGAGCTGAGGGGGCTCAACCCCCTCTGAGGAACTTTTGAGCCCCCATTGGCGAATAAAATACATGCTTTAAAAATTTTCCTGAGGGGGGCTGAGCTCCCACCCCCGCCCCCTGACTCCGCCACTAATCGGAAGTTTTCTTCAAGTTGATGTTCACCAACAGATGAATATATATTCGACAGAAGAATTGCACCTGATACAAGATCTTTTTTTCATCAGGAAACAAACATTTCATTCGATTGTATATCTTTTCAGATAAATTCCTATTTCGATTATTACGTGCACCAGATAATAAACACACTAGAATAGAAACGAAACAAATAAACATCAAGTAACGTTCGTCGGTTCGACTCACTTGATCCTCGACTGTATAAGACAGAAGTATATTCCTCATGTGTCGGTATCGAAAGAATTGATCTACTAGCTTCATTACAATAACTGCCACAAATTCCAATTTCTTAAATCGTAAAAGTCGAAGAAACTGCTCGGCCTTTTTGTAAAATAATTGAAGATAAACCTTACTTTTCAGTAAGAGATTGTAAACCTAGCAATTCTTTGTCAAAATACACTATAACTGCTGAATACCTGTTTCACCTTCCATTCTCACACAGACAGACACAAAAGCTTATTTTATTTCATATAACCCTTCCTATAGCCGAGAAAATATCATTATTTTCTCAAGAAAACTTTTTCCCTGACCTTAAAAATTTAACTCAAAATATTGAGAAGCTGACTTCAGATTCGGATTTACCGATCCCGATTTACTTTTGTCAACCTTTACCTCCAAGCCTGCAAAAATCTGACCGGTTGAAAGCTCAATATACAAACCTCTGATTGGCTGAAATCTTAGGATGAAAAAACTTGACTGGCATAAGTCCTAATATGAAAAACCCGATTCGCTGAAATTCTGATGTATTCATATTTGATGATATTCTTTTGATCCTTGATCTTTGACCCTGACACAAACTCATTTTATTTCATATGACCCTCCCAACAGTCGACGGAATAAATAAAGCAAAAGTTCTCGTGGGAATCGTTGACTCCAATGAGATCAGTAGAACATTATTATATTCCCATATAAAATGTCTTGATATTCAATTTAGAAATATTAATTTCATCTTTGTCGCTAGAGCAGGTGGCCTTACATGTAAGTCCTTATCAGATGAAGTATAAGATTAAACCTTTAATTTCGCCAGCTCGTCAACATTTTTTCTGTTCGAAAGAGAGGCTTTGTGAAATTTTCTGTTCACATGTTTTAAAAGTCATTTTTTCTTCCGGATATGTACTACTTTCTCACTGATTGCGTGAACCCACAGATAGTACAAAATCTAGTAATTGTCTTCTCGATAAATTCAGTCAAACGAGCAAATATCGTTCGGGCCTTTCTGAATATTTGTGTCTCACTCGAACAGCTAGATGGAACTACTATTGGACTATTTTACTCTAATGACCACTACGTATCCCTGTGCTTGAAGTTACCGATCTAAGCTTATCAGAGTGCTTCAATCTAATTGACTGAATTCCCAGTCCCTCACAATCTGATTGACTGAATTTCTTACCCCTCGAAATCTGACTGGTGGTATTCTCAGTCCATCAAAACCTGATTGGCTGAATTTCCTAGCTCTTCGAAGTCCGATTGGCTAAAATTCCTAGCTCCGCGAAATCTAATTGGCTGAATTTCCTAGCCCCTCGAAATTTGTTTGGTTGAATTTCCAGTCCCTTAGAACCTAATTGTTTGAGAGATGGATAGCGAAAACATCTGATCGACCATTGATGTTCTTTTGACCCCGACACATACACACATACAAACGCATTTTATTTCATATGATCCTCCTTACAATCGAGGGAATATATCCATATAATATTATCACACAAGAATACTTACTATACATGACAAAATTGGGCGAATTTGTCTTTTCATATTCATTTATCAACTTTTGTGCTTCATCAAATATAAACAAACGACTTAGACAATCAATCTTAAACAGAAAATAAAACAATCACAGCTAATATAATAAATTAAATAGAAAAACAAACCATCACAGTCAAGATTTTTGTTGTTTTGAAAGAAATTTCATTGAAGATATTGCGAGCTTGATCAAGAAGACCTGCATGAGAACATGCATTTAATACACAAATATGCGTAACTTCATCACGTAGCTCATTCGGTATTTGTCTATATAATTCAATAGCTTCAAAACCCATTTCATTAAGTCCAAATTCATTAACTTAAAAAAATAAATTATTCAATATTTAAAACAAACAAGAAATAAAAATAAATAAAATTACTCATTGCATTGTATGTCACTACATCATGATCGTGAACTGATTTAAATATACTTTGTGCCATTTTAATAGAACCACATTTACTCTATATGACAAAACAAACAAGTAGTTAATAAAATGGACTAACCGATGATGATCAATAATCAATACTTACCCACATATGAACCAATGAGATTTGTATTTGTTTCAGATTTAGAATATGCAAAGGAATTTGATCAATAATGTACTGAGATTGTCGAATCATACCAACTTTTGAACATGTACCAATAAGTATATTCCATGCATCTTCATTCAGAACAGCACCTTGTTGTTTCGTTTCCTCCAAAATCTTAAAACATTTCTATGGTTCACGATTGATGTTGTAACCATTCATTAGAGTACAATAAGTAATAATATTTTTCTTCTTGATTGAATCAAAAATACGTTCGGTACTCTCAACATCATCAAATTTCATTAACATATCTATTTGCTGAAGTTAATATCACATTATCATTTCGATAACTAACAGGTATTTCATGAAAAAGTTTTCTTCCAGTGTTCATTGCTTGATCATTAGCAACTTGAGCACATAAATTAAATAAAACTGGAAGAGTATAATTGTCATGTTTAAATGTCATTTGATCTAATAAATCAAATACTTTCTCTGGCATGTTACTATTTTTTAAGGTTAATAATGAAAAATATTTAATAAGAATAAATTATGAAGAATATTAACCTTTGAACATAGTTGTACAGATGTAACTGGATTTGTTTGTTATTCTAGAGAATAGATGAATTGCATTATCCATATTGTGATATTGTACTAAAAATAAAAAGAAAACTTGATGGATATAGATATATATAGAATATTATTGAACATTTACTAAATGATAGGGTTTTTTTTGTTGAATGTTTAGTATAAATAATTATAAGGCGTTTTATTCACGGATTACTAGTATTTTCTTTGTGCTTGTCTCATGAAGTACAATCAAATTTTGCAAAATCTGATCGAATATCTCGAATAACTGTTGACAAAGTAGCATTCAATCAATCGTAATATTTTTATAAAAAGAATATAAGAGGATATTATTTTTTTTGTGTCGGACAAAATAAATAGTAAGTTTTTCAAATTTACCTAAGAGATTGAAGCTGCTTATTGTATAAAGTAAATTTATACTTATGCAAATCTTAGTTTATGCAAAAAAAGTTAAAAATAAAAAAAAAATTTCCGAAAGAAAAACGTATTCTCATTCATCGAAGTGTTCACAGATTTATATTTTTCTATAATCATATTCTAATTGACAAAATGAATGACTTACGATAAAATCGAATTAATGATGTTTGAATATAAGAATTCTTCAATGAATTTGATTGAAGTTTTTTTTTTGAATATGAATGCCACGATTATAATCACTGATTATACTACAAGCATTTATTGCCAGGCTAATAGTATAATCGTTACACATTTCAAACTTTTGATCGCAAAGATCTAAAGCTTGTTTATAATTTTTAGCAGCAATAAGATCTTTAATTGTTGCGTTTAATTGTCTTGATGATAAAATAAAATTTTTTTCATTGTTCTTATTGTATGTTGATAATAATCTTTGACATCGAGATATTAAATAAAAATTATTTTTGATGATTGACATGTGTTAATCCAGAATAAAAAAATAATAATATTGAAATACGTATTTTTTCAAAAACAATTTTAAAAAAATTATAAAAATCTATTCTCTTTCAGGTACTGTGACAAAATACCCATTGGACTAAGTTGCATACCTCTCTTACATAGTTAAACATCTATATAAGAGGTCGCTAGTTATTAATACTATATATCACTCTATTACCAGAAACTTATTTATACATAGTGAGTACCAAAATTGATTAACAAACAGAATGAACCTTTTTGGCGAGTTCATATTTCAACAACTATATGAGCTGTAATGATCTGGTTTTATCCATATCGTAGCCTATATCATCTAGTATATACACACAAAATTTCAAGTCAAATATCCTTGTGTTCTACAGTTATTGAACAGATAAAAAATTTTTCTATTGTAATAGCAAATAATTTCCGAAAAGAAAAATTAATTGGTTTTGTAATGTGACACGGAGCACAGCATTTATGTTCTTCGCGTGTGCATTTGATCTCCATACTTTGCGTGTATTTTGCTGTAACAAAACCTGCACATTATGTTACGATGATCTACAGAACAGCGAGTCGGTAAAATCTCGTTTGAATTTTATTAGGGAGTTCAGATCTCGAGATGATGTAAACAATTTTTAACTTTCAATATGAGTTTTCGTTCATCTTCAGTAAGTTCGGCAAAACGGCGATTTTAACCTCCATCTTTTACCCGAGATAATTATGAATGTAGCAGAAAAAGATAGCTGCGTATATCTTTAAACAACTAATGTCGTTCATTATAGTTGTGCAATCAGATGATCATAGATAATGAATCAGACAGATAATTAAATGATCAATTATCAGTGTTGTTTAGAAATATGTTGATAAACATTGATAGAGTTCTGATAGTAATGAATTTCTCCATATCTTCTTTTCATTTTGTTTTCATCTCCGATCAGCTGACCGAAATGTAACTTTTCTCTATACATTATTTATAAGATTAAATTCTCACTTATTTAGAGCTTTTATCCTAACTGAGTACATTGTATCTGAATGATTTTTTTTCGATCAATATATGCATATAGCCGTAAATAATAGCCTACGCATATTGTCAGGTATTTTTACTTTATCTCACATGTTGGTTTCGACTCATCTTTGAAGGGTGTATGCGTGTGTATAATAAAATAAATGAAAACTTCTTATTGAATTACGCATCATACTTGTTATCACGGTATAATATAATTGTTGTGTAACAGTATTTCGATCATCATAGTTTTCTATTATTCATTTCACATTATCGATTTCTCAATAGAGTGTATGAATATGCGATCTTTTGATAAGCTTGCTAAAATAATTGTATCTTCCTGGCATAGCCGCATAGCTAATACTTCTTTTCTAGCATCTTTAAAATGCAAAAAAGAAACATTTAATTTAAATAGTAATAAATAATTTTTATTTGTAAACAGGTTTAAGGTTAGGTTTTTGTTTACTGCAGCATTATGTTTTTTTACTGTGTAAAGTAGAAGAATTGATTTCAGTACTCTTATTGTATTGATTAGTCTAGATTAGATGCGCTATTTTATTTTATGTGTAACCTATTTTGGTTTTTACGCGTAAGCAAAAATAGCTTGACTCGACTGTGTACCACTAAGAAGGGTGTGGGTGTGTCTCTCTGGAAACGTCGAACACTTACATCCACGATCGCAGCCACATCCATATCCTTCCTCTTCCCTTTCACCTTTCTACTTGATTCTGCATTACTGACACACTTTTACCGATCATAAATTATACATTAGCTGTGTTTAGAACATGAAACATAATAGTGTTCGATTGCCATGAATAGAAATCGTAATGTTCTATTATCTTTTGTATGAAGCCATCAGTGATATTAATGCTCGAATTGACAACAAGCAACATTGAGTGCAGTGTATAGAACACTTTTCTTATTTTGTTTATTATTCGCTGTCGACCTTCATTGAAATTGAATATTTTTCATGAATCACTTTAGTAAGACGTAGAAACTAGAACTACAAGATCTTCTGAATAGAGTTTTATAATTTTAACATTCCATTTTATCATAGAAGATTTTCATATCAGTAAATAGTAACAAAAACAAATTCATAATAGAATAGGATATGACAACTAACTAGGCCAAAAAAAAAACAATTCGAATGCATTTGATTAGATTGATAGAATATGATAGGTATTTTTTTGTTTAGTATGAAATTTTATTTTATTTTTTACAAGAAAATATTGAGTAATCAGAGAAAACTAATTCATTAATCATGTTATAGTAGTTGGAAATGTTCGCACACGAAATAAGCATCGTGGTCGTACTATAAAAATCCATTTGAAAGATCCAATCATGAAAATAATGAATGCTACGAAGAATACTGCTATCATCATTGTGATGGGCACTAACTCATTCCGGATAAAATTATTGCGAGCAGCACTAATATCCGGTTTGTGTATCAGTGGTCGTCGTTGAGTATCGGTTGGATCAATAAAACACGAATATGTGCTGTTTATCTGAAAAGATAGAAAAAACATAGATTAAAATGAAATCAATTGTATTTACACGTCTATACACACCACATTGGGTTTGAGTGCTATTGGTACTGACCATTCTTCAAATTGTTGTTTCTTGCTGTTTCCGTTTGAACTGATTTCGAAAGAAATGAGAAATGAACTATTGATAATGATCAATGAAGAATTTTTGTCTTCTTGAAAACGCGAGATAACTTGATCAATATGACAAGTTGTTCTCAAAGAGAACTTTTTCATATCAAGTTCAGACTGACAATACTCGAAGTATTGTGTCGTTAGCATGACAATCATGATGAGTAAACCAACAAAGGAAATTGTCATGTACATAAGAGAAGCAACTAGTTGCTGCGTTTCTCTTGACCAAGGATAAGATAATGCCATTTCTATGAAATTGTATGTAGACTGACTCTATTTGACGATGTTTTTTTCCTTTTTATAAGAAAGTAGAAGAGCGGACGGATAAAATTAAGCGAGACATTCAATTCATTCGTGTGCTACATATGCATACCAGCCGATTTTTTTAGCGGAAACGGTGACGACGTAAGAAACTGAATATTTTTTGACTATGGGTCATTCGAGGCATATTTCTTATCTTAGAGGTCATCGTATAGAACGAGGTCACTATCTAAACAATATCTGAAAATGATTTTTCCATTAGTGACTTCGACATATATAGATCTATCCAATGAGAAAATAGTCACTCTTCATTTTCACTATATGGTATAGAATTTAAATTTACTCTAAAAGTTCAATGGTGTTTTGTAATAAAAAAAAACAAGCAGAAAAAGCCATGCGATTCATGAAATGATCAATAGGCCTTCGTAACAATTTTGAATCTCATTATTCCGACAATACGTAATCATTGAAAAAAATTCTTTATGAATTTATATTTTTATTCATTTCCGTTGAACAAATGTTAAGATCGAAATCAGTATTGGATTTACGATCCATGTTTGATATATCGGAATACTTTTAATAAATACATTCGATGAAAGACTTGTATCAAAATCAAATATTTTCATAATTAGCTAACAAAGTGGCAGAATCGATCCGTGTGCGTGAACGAGTGTTCAGAGGACATTTTTCACTCTTATCGCAGATTCTGCATCTCTGGCGACTACACTCATGATCTAATCATCACATTTTTTACATTTGAAGTTTGATATTTGATTTCAAGGCTACATTTTATGTCAGCCATCATTTTAATATAGATTAAAAACTATTCTGATCGGATTACCTCCAGATCATCATGCTTTATGATTGTTTAAAACATCAGATAACCGGAGAGTGTGGATTTGCGTGTGGTCTTCTCTTTATACACACCTAACACTCACAATTATAAGATATCATTGAAAACCTGTTTCAAACACTGTCAATTCATTTCTGTTATTACATATCGTTTTATGTTATTGATAATTGTCTAAAATATCACATGAATTTTTTTTTCTTTTTTTAATGTATTGTATTAATTATTTACTCAAGAGCTAGTATGTTTACATTAGGACTTGTAAACATGAAAAAAAAAGCTTAACAAGTATAAGAGATTGAGTTTTCTTTCGGAATATTTCATTGAGGTCCAATTTAATGGGTAGACCAAATCTAGGTTAAAAATTTATGCAAGACTCCTATTTTAGAAGTTATGAACAAATCTATGCACGGTTTGAAAATAACGTTGGGATAGATTTTAGAAAGCAAAAAAACACCGTACAGGATATAAGTACAATGAATTTCAAATACATTAAAAGAAAGAACAAACATTTCTCTACGAAATAATATTCTGATTATTAGTTTTTCATAAGATGTCTATCAACGGTGAAAGTTTTCACAAGAGATATAATGATATTTCGCACTGTCTTGATTTTAAGACTCACAAAAAGCACTCGATCATTTCTTGAGAATTGTTTCGAGAACCTCAGATCTTAACGTACTTCGTAGAGACCAATCTCATCCATCATACTATGCAAACAATGATTTACAGAATATATGTAATAGTGGACATCACACCAGGAACACTAAATTAATAAGAAAAGAAATATTTTGTCTCAAAGGTTTTGATACATCCATTAGATAGAGGATCAGTCTTTCAAAGAAGAACATTGATTTTCTCATTCAATAATATGTTATGTTTATATAAATAATTTTCTAAACTATTTTACCTCATTAAAGTCGAAACAGACGCAAAAAATAAAAACAAAAGAGACAAATGGCACAACTCCATTGTCTTCGATACGAAACGCAGAATATATACATTTGAGCTAGCTATAGGATAGATATCAATGTATTTATCTAAACAGACAAAGATAGACGGTTTAATAAAAGAAAAGAGTATACAGGAGAATACAAATTCTTTTTTTCTTCATGAGCACAAACAACAAGAAAATTTTGATGTGACGAAAAGATTTCTCTGATTTTTAAAATTGAGTATTGAAATAAAGACTTATTTTTAAAGATTAAAAGTTTCATTTTGAATCTAAAATGACATCAGGCTGTTCATTTATTTTTGATTTTATCATTTTATAGAAAAAATTTTCGACATGTTTTTTATATTAATTACTTAATTATTTATCTTAAGTCAGATAATGTAGCGCATCTTTGTCTTTTGATTGACATTCAAGATAGCCTTTGCTAACTAAAGCTTCAATACATTTCTATAATTTTTGATATTAACTTTCGATATCTTTTTGTTCGATTGATTCTAATAATGGTACATTCAAATTTATTTTTATCTTTTCTTTTTTTTTTTACTAAAAAGAAATAAAAAAACATTAAGAATTTTTAATATTGAGCCTTTAGACTCAGGTTGAGCTTCTCTAGCCGTATTCTATATACTACTCAACAATCACATATTTTTGTATGTGAGTCATAATCGATCGGATTAAATGTAAATAGAATTTTTTTCTAATTGAAATTTGTAGGAAACCTCTATTCCTAGACCAAAGCATAGAGGAGGGTGTAAGTGTAGATGTGCATCTCGTTAAAACCACACCCACACCCACCTAAATTTTCTCAACCAGTATCAATGGACATGTAAACACGCACGTCTTTTCATATGCTTGTCAATTCTTGAAGATTCTAAATATCTTTTGTTTTTTGTTCACATTTCTATCAATGAGAGTCGTGTATTAGATAAGATGTCTTCTTACTTGCAAAAATAAAACCAAATTTCAATATTTTTTTTTTTACTTAAATAAAGAAAATAATCCAAAATTTGAGGCATTCGTTTTTTAAATTCTTTAAGATTTATTCATAACAATATTTGCTATAAGCCTTTTTCTTTCTTGAACTTCAACATATCGTCTTATTATCATTGTAGTATGGAAACAAACATCGAATGGATAGAAACTAATCGAGATGTAATAGCATTTATATACAAAAATTAAAAATATAGAAAATGATGTTCATATAAAGATGGCTTTGAAAGGCGACTATAAGAATTTGACTCCCGAACAGGATCAAATATCACCGTGAAACTTATACTAGCCTTTGGATGTACGCGTCTTCTTTTCATGCACACACCCACTATAAATTATAATACAACCTTTTGGAACCATCGGTTTGCCTTCGATTAAAATCCTTCTTAGTTCAGCGCAAATCGATGATCCTTGTTTGTTCATAATATACGAACTACTTTCTTATTGCATTTCTGGAGAATTAGCAATAGCAGTTACATTTGAATTCCGCAAGGATTGCACTATCAGCTTTCATAATAAAAATTAATTTCCTGTACTTATATCTCAAAGTATCGAATTAAATTTCCATGAAATTTTTTTTCATAATCATTTCATGGGAAATGTAAGAAGTAGCAATTAACATAAATTATCTCTCAGGAAAATAAAATTTTGTTTTTTTCTTTAAATTTTATTTATTTAAAATTTTTGGTATTAAAGTTTTATTCATTTTTTGCCATATATCACTTGTTTTCAAATCACTTTTACTAACTGATGTACAATTAAAACTTCGTAAACCAGGTAATAAACATAAAACATAAGATCTAAGATAAGATATATTATCTTCAATTGGATTACGATGTAATGTTAAATGTTTAAGTTCTTTTAATGCATATAATTTTTCAATTTCATTTAAATTACGAAGAAGATTTTTATGAAAAAGAAAATGTTTAAGCAATGGAAATTGTGTTATAGCCTAATAAAATAAACTAAAAAAAAAGAAAATCTTATATATTGATTAATTTCTTACAATAGGAATTTCTGTAAATGCATTAAATGATAAATCTATTATTGCGAGTGCATTTGGATTTATAAATATTTTTCGTATCAAATTAGGTAATGTTTCCAAAGAACCATTTAATTTATTATGATTCAAATTAATTCCATATGAATGATATCGATTATCTACTTTAATAACATTTGGTGCACCAGGTGCTACACGTGGTTCAAACGAAACAGCATCTATTAATAATAATCAAATAAATTCTTAAGCAAACAAAAGGAAGAACAAAAAAAAAACAAATAAATTCAAACCTTCAATTTTTTCTGCATCATGAAATGAATAATCAAGTAGAGGATAAAATTCATTTGAATCATCAATACGTTTTTGTACATTTGCTAAAGAATGTTTTAGACTTAATGAAGATTTCATATTTTTAATAAATAATAAATATCCTATTTTTGTTTTATCAATCGTAAGAAGTTGCTAAGCAACGACATACTTATGCATTAGAATATTGTATTAAAGAAAGGTTGTTGTTAAGCAATCAAATTTTCTATTCATCAATTATGAGAGAACAAAGAAAGAAAAAAACACATGCATACATATATATATATTAAAAATAATAAACAAAAATATTTATATTTATACATAGATATAATTGATTTTGTTTAAAATAAATCAATGGCTGCAGCGACTGCTTTGAAATCAGGATCTATTGGTATGTAAGAATGATAATGAAAGATTCGTATTTCTTATGGGATTTTTTTTCTCTTTAGGAAGTGAAAAAATGCAATTTCGTACACAAATAATCAATGGAAAACCACAAATATATTTTGATACATTTGGTTTGTTGAATTTCATTTTAAATTTTTCATTTAATAACCAAATTTTTCTAGATGAATCTTCAATAAAATCAAAACCAAGACGTAATAGTCATACTATAAATACAAATCATCCTCCAATAGAACAACCAAAATCTAAACCTAGTAGTCAAAAACCAATTTCACAAAATCTATCAAATAAACAAACAAAGAAAAAACATAAAGTTACTTTTAGTGAAACTAGTCCAACAGCAGGTATGTTTATGACAATGGATGAAATATCAGAACTTGTTAAAGCTACCCAAGAAAATACTATAGGTAAAAGAAAAATATGATTCATTTTTTTTTTCATCTAATACAAACTTTAATTATTAGCTCAATATAATAAAACAACAGAAAATACAGGTAATTTTTTATTTCGATTAAAGTCAATCTTTATATATATATATTTTATAGAACTTTCACATACATATCAACCATTAACTCAACAACAGCCATCTAATGAAGTTTCATCTGTAGCTATAGTACCTAAATTAGATTTACCTTCACAATCACCATCGGCACCATTAGCTCCAATCTCACCTCGACAAGAAGCATTAGGTATGATGGCTGAAAAGAAACGTCAAAAATGGTTACGTGAAAAAGGTTAGAATTATTTTGAAATTAAATCTTATTCTTATTTAATTATATTTTAGCTGAAATGGATCGAATGAAACTTGAAGTTGAATATGATCAACTTAAACATCAATTATCACCTATGCATCAAAAAGTTTCATCATCACCTGGTATATTTAAATCAAATATCTATATTAATTGTTTTTATTTTTATTTTTTATATTTTAGAACGATCAGCATATCCATCTGATTATTCATCAACAAATAATAAACCACCACTTCCATCTTCAGTTAAACAAAATGATACTCTACAAAATGATACATTTAAAACACGATTAATAGAAAAGAAACAACAACAATGGAAACAAGAAAATGGTTAATTACAAAAAAAAAACAAATTTTTGTTTCATACATAGTTTTTCTTTTAGATGGAAAAACTCCAATTTGGAATCCATTTGGACGTCCTGGTGCTGGTGCACCTATCATCAACGAAATACAACAACAAACTTCAGTTTGTTTTATATATCTTTTCAATAAATTTATTTTTATTGAATTTTTCTTTCAGCAACCATCTTCTAATATTATTATGCCATATCGACCATTGGATTCTTCTTCTATTTCATCAAATATCATTCTTAATGATCAAACACATGTACCAGCTGCTATGCGTACGAATTTATTGTTTGGTGATGTTCGTTTTGAAGATGATGTTAAAACAGCTAAAGAAATAGAACGACGACAATGGTTAGAAGATTTACAAAAACAAATTGAAGAAAATAAACGTAAAAAATTTAAAGAACAAGAAACTGAACGTCGACAAGATTTTTTACATGAAAATATTCAACCATTATTACAAGAAGCTGCTAATCGACATCAATCAGAAAAAGAATCATCATCAATACCATCTAATAATACATTAGTAACAAATACTAATGTACAAAATTCAACTAGAACAAGTCGACATGATTCAGTAGTACAACAAACATATGATAAAATAGTTGAAGCAACTGAATTAGCTAAATATGAAAAAAAAGCACAATTAATTGAAAAACTTAAACGAAATGGACATAAAACGGATTTATTAGCAAAAACATTACCAGGTAATTGTATTAAAAATATTATTTTTTTGTTTTAAAGAAAATATTTTCGAATTTTTTTTTTTGTTATAGCTATGAAGACATCCGTTCCAGTTTCTACTCAAAAGACAAATGAAAGAAATGTTGATTCATCACTAAAAAAAAATACAACAATGAAAATAGAACCATTATATTTAAATGTTGGTAATGATAATGATCAATCAAATCGAATAAATGATGCTCGACGTGATGAAGCTGTTAATACAGTTAATTCAACATTTCGAAGGTAAATTCTATAGATTAAGTTTTTATCTATTATTACCGAAAAAGAATCTTCTTTTTCTTCTTAAATTTAGTGATAATAGTGTTCAAACAGATCTTCCAATGATGTCACATAAACAAATGTTTTCTTTTAATCGTGAAGAATCTGATTTACCTCCTCAAATTCCAAATCATCTTCTTCGTAATTCAAAACAAAATAAGAAAAATGTTCGTATACGTTCACTTGAAGATCATCAACGTCAACGACGTTCATCAATGACAACAATACATTCAAACAATAATACGAATGATGATGGTATTACATCTCAAGCAAGTACAAATCGTCATAATTATGGTCCATTAGATCTTCTTCATCGTCCATTATGGAATTATAAAAATCCTGAACATCGTCAATATATACCAAATTCAAAACGTGATCCACATTATGAAAAACGTCAACGTCATAAATATCATGGAGAAGAAAATTTTGATCGTATTGATGATATACAAAAAAAACCAACATATAATCGTTGGAAAAGTGATAGTGAATTACAACAAGAATATAAAGAAAAAAAATCTTCATCAACAAATCGTACACGTTCAACAGTTTTAAAACATAATATAAATCATAAAAATGAATATAATATAAATATTTCAAGAGAAAAAATTTCACAACAAGCATTTGTTACAACAAAAACAGATGATGAAACATATTATAATAATATATCATCATTAGATAAATATGAACATTTTATACCATATACAAGAACAGATGATGTACTTGATCCATCGAAAGCTTTTTCACCTATACCACCATCAAGAGAAACATCAGCTCATACACAACAATTAATAGTATGTATATATAGAAAAGAAAAATTTTCATGAGGAAATAAAAAAATAATAAAACTATAAATAGACTACAACGAATGATGATCATCATCGAAGACAAAATACAAGTGTTCAACCACCGCCTTTTCATGTGCCTCCATCTCGACAAGAACATATTCTTCAACAATTAACAGCTATTAAAGAAGTTCGTATAAATACGGTTTTTTTTTCTTCTTCTAAATATTATAATTATGAATTTTGATGTTTTTCTTTTGTATTTCAGAATTTAGTTCGTCGACAACAAGAAGTTGCTACATCGATAAATGCTATTCCAGTTTAAACGAATAAAAATAAAAGAATTAGTTCGCTTAGCTACTTTTCATATCAATAATAAATATTGTTCTCTCATGATTTTGTTTTTCTTCTTCCTTTTTTTTTTGTAGTCTTCATTCTTGTGTGTATGTCTATGTAACTTTTTAATTTATATATACATATATTTGATAAAAACATTTGACTGAAATCAAATATGTTGAACAATCTTAACGTAAAACTATTCTTGATAATAATTTTTATCTATTTGAATGATATATCTCTTATAAGAACATCTAAAACAAACTCATACATAATGATATAGATAAACTTGAACAAGAAACAGCTGATATTGTAACTCGACGGTAAATTAAGGGGGCCTCTTAGAATTGATTTACCACTTTAGAATGGATCGTTTGGGCTAAAATTTCCAGAAATGAATGGTCCTAGTAAGAAACGCTTGTGGTAAAAATTTCAGTCTTATATACTCTAACAATCCGAGCTTCCGGCTTGTTTTTTTTTAAAAACAAGCGTTTTAGTGGACATGGTGTTCAAAATAAGCATAAAAAAGGTAACTCCCTCGGCAGTAAATCACCCATCGAGTTTTTCCAAGACAGAGAAACTTTAAAAAAAAAACACAAAAATTTCTCCGAAAACATGATGTTGAGTTAAAGTTTTCTGTGATAAGTCCTTGAAATGCTGCCCGTGTTGCGAAAAGCCATATATATTCTGAAAGAGGAAGCTTGGATGCATATTCCTGTGATAAAAACTCAACTTCGATATTTTTTCGAAAAATTGGATTTTCTGAGGGACTCCTTAATTGGACATGAAAGGTTTGTATGTAGTCAGTTGCTTACTGCTGTCAAATATATACAGATACATGTCACTCAATATGAAATCATTGAAAGAGCAGAAAATAAGATGGGCTGTCTGAGTAAGTTACTTGTAATATTTATTTATGTATTTTCAATCATATTTTCGTCGTTGACAGGTTACACTAAGATGTTCAATTAACAATCAAACTCGAAGAGCTGTGAGCATTTCTTTCACTGTGCATCTGACTTTCAATATACGTTACTAAAAACAAAAATCAATTCAATTTCGTCTGTTCTCAGATCATCACTGCCCCACTAATATTTTTGGAGCATAATGAGACATGAACATCGCTCCTTTTCAATGACTTTCTATTCACTGTACCGTCGCTACTGCGTCTTTCTGTACAATAGATATGCTTTTTTCTGAAGATACTACCCATTTTATCAATCCATTCACTGTCAAGAGTATTGTCTATACAATATATGACTCTAACCATTATTGAAATCATGTTCACGTTTATTCAACTCAATTTGAATCTCTCTCTATGCTCATAGTATCCCATCGATGGATCCATCGATTGACTTGCAATAAAGGTCCATTTTAGCGCATAATATTGAAGCTATGTATACAATGAGTCCACAACACGCTTGTATCAACGATGATAGAGGAGCACAACTAATGGCAAAATAATCATATTCAAATTAATGGTAATTCAATTTTACACATTCACAAGGATCAAATTATATCATCACTTGAACGCCAATCTTTTATCCGATAGAAAATTTTCAAATACGTAAAATACAAAAACTTATTCATTGTTCGTATTCTACGTTAGTATGTGTGTGTGAATGTTAAACCAGTGGTGTTGAAATATTTTGTTGTCAATTATTTTCATATTTTTCTCTTACGGTTAATAATCAACCGTCATTTTAAATGTATGTCTTTTTGACTAATCAAATCAAAAAAGATATGAGGGTCGGTTTGCATGAAGAGAAGACTAGTATTCGTCTTTCAAGAAATGGTAAATGAATCATTCTATTGATGAGATGTTAATCAGCAGTGATTTCGTCAATATCTTCTTGGGTTGTTTAAGTATTCTCAAATATTCCATTGTAAGGAACGGATGAAAGATCATCGTTAATTAACCGATATTAATTATACAAAAATACTTAAGTGATGAGATCTTCAAGATAAACTCACATGTATAAGAACACTCGACTTGTGTCAATATTTGATTTCGTAGATGGAACTCATATAGATATGAATTAGTGAAAGAGAAAAAAGCAAATAAGTCGTAATTCGACTTATATGCATGTGTTACGTCAAAGAACCTTGATCGGTGTCTAATACAGAGTTTTTCGTTGTTTGTTGATAAATCAATTGAGTCCTCTAACTTGTGTGTGTTGATTCGAGTGTCATACATAGTCGATTTTTGACATTGGTAAAGATAACTATTAAGCTGTTTGATCATTTTCGATCATAATTATGAACACAGCGACTAGAAAATAACTTATAGCAAATTGACCTTATATCGATTCTAAGAAATTTTTGAGCGAAGAAGGCGGATGAGAGACATGTGATTATTTTAATATTTATTTCACGAGAATTTCAACTTTTTCAACAACCGTAGTTTCATTGACTATGCGATTGTTTTTTGTTGCCATCAAAATGAGCAACTCAATAGTGTACCAGCTGATTTTATTTGCGTAGAATATGAGAGCTATCATCATAGTTAGCAACAATATGGTGGCTCTTATCGTCAAAGCAAAAATATGTGCTGATGTTATGTGTACTTGAAGTGTTCTTTTATCGAATTCAGGCAAATGTAAGTATAATAACAGACGGAATATTGTGAACTACGTAGTTTGATACTATTCAAACACAGCTATGAAAACATTTGACTATTCACTTTGAAAAACAATAGCGTCTACTTCATCTGACACATCCTAGCTTAGTGGGCTTTCAGCATGTTTACAGTGCTTGAAACGCGATTGCTGCCATTCAATGTTTGTTTTCACTTGCTATCGGTGTCAACAAGTAGGTATTCATGCACAAATTGTGATCTAAAAAGGTTCGACATATTACAGTAGTTAGGAACGAAGTTTTGAAAGAATAAATGATAGATATATCTCGATCCTTGCGCCATAATCTCAACACAACTATTGTCTCCGAGAAATCATTCTATCTTAATCTACAACATATAATTATACAGACGGTTTTGATTTTCTTAGTAATAGAATATTGCAGATATTTATTGAGCTACAATTGAATATGAAATTCGAAAAATACGTTACATTGCAAATAACTTCTGTCCTATCTTTCTGAAAATTCTACAGCTTGTCAGTCTCAATTTAGCTATTGTAAACTATTGAGTTTATTAATCGTGAATAATCCCAATGCTTCTTCACCTTATGATCATAGTTCCTTACACCTTATTTTTCTTGTCGAAATCTAATACAAAAGGACGAGACAGACTTTCTCTGCATTTAGAATTATAGCAGAAGCTGAACAGAATTGGAAATATGGAACCGAATCACGGAGCGTATATTACAACGAAATATGATTTAGGCCGGTAGCGCAGAGTTGATGATCAATAGAGGATGAGATGGCAGTCTATTCAAAGCTCTACAAATTAAAAGCTGAATTTTGTGTCACTAATGCGTACACGTACTGCCTTTGTCAATGATATTCTAGATGTAATATGGATCCACTAGCGTTTTTTTTGTTTCTACATATAAATTTTAGATAATATTCAAGACTCATATTTTGCTTTCCAAATCTCATTCCATCAGTCGTAGATGAAGCAACTATTGAAGTTTCTTTTTTCCTGCATTCAATTAGAAAATCTTATCGAAAGATTCAGCCAGTGGTGAAAATAACCAAAAAAATGATTCAAATAATCAGTTAATTTGCTGAGAACTAACTATAATGATGGATCTGATATATTTTACCTGATTCTTTATAATACTGAAGAAACTCTTCTCTTCCCGCAATATTTGCCGTGTTCGACATGTCCCTCAACCTGACTGTTCTTAAGAAGTCAATCAACTGAGTTTCAATAAGTATGTTGGAAAATTGGATACAAAAAGTAATTTCATTCGCGATTTGATACATTTTAGAGTTTTTCTAATTAGTTAGGAAATTAAAAAAAAGCTTATCGAAATCAGCAATCAAGTAACGATTAATCAGAATGATTAATCGTCGACTTTGGAGATATTGTTTCTCATATCATAATCGCGATTTTACATCGATTTGTTTGAAAATCGGCAAAATCGCCACAATTTTCACGACAAAAGAATGTTAAAATAATTTCTACTTGTCATATCCTAATCAAAGAGAACAAAAAGAATTATATAAAAACGAAAACCAATCAAGTTCAATTAATATTTCCAGTAATGCTACTAAACAATCATATATACTTATTTATGAACAAAAGATCTCAGCACCAAAAATAAATGATTACTTTAAACCGAATACATTCACAAACACATGTTTATTTATATTGATAGCACAAACGAAGAAGTACTTGGAAGGAGGCTAAGTCACTTATGTTATTCTTTTTCGTCAGATTTCTTGTTCCTGTTGTAGACCAGGATTTAATATAATTATTATCTGGCCTAAACCTTGATGTGGACAAGAGTCCTAAACCATCCTTTTTGTAATATATACAAAACCAAGAAATCTACATTATTCTCATTATTCATTAAGTTCAAATGTTGAGTCATTCATCTATATTAATTAGTATCATCAACAAGAGTGATACTTATTTTATATTTCTCCTACAGGTATCTATTTAGCAGCGAAAAAAATACCGATCCATACTTGTTCTTATTCTTCTTCTCAAATACGTTTATGCATATTAGTGAAGAACAGAACAGAGAAAATTAACATGTGTCTAACACCAAAGCCGTCCCCAAAGACAAAGAAATATAAAAGTAACAATACAGCGCCGCTTGCTATTTCTTTTTCTGGTCGTCGTCTTTAGCGAAGAAAAAGCACATCCTACTTTTTAAGTAACGAATGAATGATCACCCTTCACATGCTAAGCGAGCACAGAGAGAAATAAAATCTCCGACCAAAAGTAAATATAAACATACAGAATACCTCAAACGAAAATCCACAAATATTATACGATATACATCCTTAACAACATCGAGTCAACAACCGTCGGTTCTCCCAACTTCAAATCATGCACATCAAGATACTTCTCCTCCT